AAAGGTTGCATTCCGAGTTGTAGTGCCACCGAGAACCAGTTCGTTCGTATTGTTTGTCCTGCTTTCAGTTAATTGCAATCGCTATGATTTCCCAGCAAATAAACATAAATAAAAACAAAAGGGGAATACAGGAGCGTGCTAACCGCCTCATTTATTGCGATATCACGTCTGTTATTCATCACCATGGCGACCTGCGAGAGAGCCTTGATGCGTCCCACTCGCAGATGTGACAGGTTTGTAATCATTGGATATGCAAATGTGTTGATCCAGTGCTCATTGTTATTCACTGCCCCTGAGACAAATGAGGTTGATTCTGTTTGTGTATTTGCTGACTGCCTTTAGTCTCGGGAAGAAACCGTGACACAGATCGCTGGATGCTTCAACAGGGCTGAAAATGAATGCTGTGCGACGCCGGTGGATTTTTTCGAGGGTTGCCTCGAAGCAGCTGCGAATGCAAGCGAGAAAGCAAGAGGTAGAGCTTTGGCTCCTCTCTTCTCTAATCTCATCCCCCGTTGAGGGAAGCATTGGGCCGTGAACCTGGCTGAGAGCTGATTGGCTGCCGAGGTGATGGGTAGGGGGCTGTCAGTGTGAGGGCCGCAGCTGTTTTGGAAGAGCCTGTGTCGGTATCTGCAGCATGTCGACGTGTGAAGTACAAAAGATGAATCCTATTTCTCAAGAGAGCCCCACATATGTCAAGTATATTGTCCCATTATACCAATTCATTTATCAAGCCACTGAATGCCAATTAGATTCACAGGATGGTGCAGGTATATGGCGAGTGGTTGGTGCCAACACTCTGCCGCAGCTGAGCTCCTCTGGCTGGCAACACCTCGAGCGCCACCGCTGCCTCCCTTTCCACGGTGGGGCTTACCAGGGCGTTGTAACCTTCCCGAAAGGGTGAGAGGCCTCCCAGCAGCGACGCCCTGTGCCGAAACAAGAGCGATCCCATTTCAGCTCGGCCCCCCTGATGAAGATGTCAGGGAGATGGGCCCGAGCCGCGTGCCAAATGTCTCCACAGACTGGAGTTCAGATGAGATGAGAGGATCAAATGATGAAGCAGCCCGATGCATGCCTTCAGCTGGGTACGTCCCAGCTGAGAAGATTTGAGAATGAGGTAAGGGGAGGAAGCTAAATCTGAGAAGTTGGAGAGTGGAAAGAAACAAGCAGAAGGAGAAACGGATATTGTGACATCAGTGGTTACGTGTGTTTTCTGTTCAGGATCACAACTAAATCAAATTTAATATATTCAAGATGCACTGTGGTCAGATTATTGAAACCACACCAGAGATCGACTGATACTGTTTTTTTATCACTGATATTTGTCTTCAAGTCTTTAATTATTGTCATGTTTCTTATTTTAGACACAATAATAACTAAGTCACTCATAATTAGCATCCAGTGAACAATCTGCTTTATAACATTAATATTGCACGTTGTCAACAAAGAATATTTTTAATCCATTTTTTTTTCTCAACTACATTTGTCCAAGGCTCTTCACTTTATTAACATATTAATGAATTAATGTAATTAATGCACACTACCAGAAAACAACAATTGGGGGGGGGGGTCTATGTTATATTTTTACATTAACAATGTAATCAATATTCTATTTATTAAAGCCGTGAATATCATCAAGTTACTGTTTTTAAGCAGTTTACACTTATTCCAAAATAATAACTCAAGGCAGTAACAATTTAAACAATATATTTTATTGGTGAACTTATGTTCAGCTATTCTTTTTAATAGTTAACTTTTAACTATTTTTTAATTATTTGGTCATCAAAGCTCGGTGAATATGGTCACAGACAAATTAAGATATTTTTGATGGAATCTGAGAACTGTCTGACCCTGCATAGACAGCAACACAACTGAAATGAAAGTCCAGAAACATAGCAAGGAGATCTGTAAAATAACAGACATCAGTGGTTCATCCGCAATTATACGAAGCTATGAGAATACTTTTTGTGCGCAAATGGAAAAAAAAACGACTTTATTCAACAATTCGTCTCCTCCGCATCACCCTGGAGCCATTTTGGAGAATATCAGCTGGACGTAAACAACATATGCTGTTCTGTGTTAGCTGAGTCATGCCGGATCTGTTTCCTACGTTGTTTGCACTTTGATTTGAATGAAAACAACATATCCGCGTGACGCATCTGACACAGAATAGCATACGCTGTTTACGTCCAGCGGATATTCTCCAAAATGGCACCAGG